GTCGGTGAGGGGGGGAGAGGAGCCACGTGAACGAGTGAAGCTGATGCCACGGAGAATAAACTGATACGCCGGAAGTAAGGAAGCCACAACTAACCAGTCGAGGCTTGTGAAGAAGAAGTATTCGAAGTAGCCATGACGATAACGGAAAGCTAACTACCTACCTAGCCGCCAGAGAAATGCGGAAAGAAAGAAGAAAAACCATTTTGAGTGTTCTAAATTGAAATGTAAAGGCAGCGAAAGAGCAAAAACATATCGTAACCTGTCGAGAGTTGAAGGAAAAAGAGTGGAAAGAGGGTGGGAAGGAGGGGGGAAGGGGGAAGGGGAAAGGGAGAGGAGAGGGGAAGGAGGGGAAGGGGGCAGAGGCAGCTGTGGGTACCAGTCTGTCAGTCGCTGTGTTCTGCATGTCAATGAGGTTCGAGGTTTCGGAGGGGGGAGCTTGATAATGGCTTCAAATGCCCCCCAATGCTATTTTAGTGCCCCTCTCCCTCCATATATACACACACATACACACACATACACACACATACACACACATACACACACATACACATACACATACACATACACATACACATACACATACACATACACATACACATACACATACACATACACATACACATACACATACACATACACATACACATACACATACACATACACATACACACACATACACACATACACACACACCTGCGCGCCGTCCGGGCTGAATCTCCCCCGGGCGACTCCGTCCCAGGTGGCTCGGGGCCCCCGGGGCAGGAGCCCCTCCCCCTCACTCTCACCCCCCTCGGGGCGAAGTGCCCATAACTTGACATCGGCGCGGGCAGATGAGAGCAGCAGCGGCTGTGTTTGGGGCCGGGGAGTGAGTGGGGGGGGAGTGAGTGGGGGGGGTGAGGAAGAGGGAGTGAGTGGGGGGGAGTGAGTGGGGGGGTGAGGAAGAGGGAGTGAGTGGGGGGGAGTGAGTGGGGGGGAGTGAGTGGGGGGGAGTGAGTGGGGGGGAGTGAGTGGGGGGGAGTGAGTGGGGGGGAGTGAGTGGGGGGGAGTGAGTGGGGGGGAGTGAGTGGGGGGGAGTGAGTGGGGGGGAATGAGTGGGGGGGAGT